GGAGTTGAGAATGGAGCAAGGACTTGAATCCAGGCACTCTTATATGGAATTCAGGCTTTTTGTTTTTCGGGGAAGAGTTAGACAGTGAGAGAGAGAGAGAGACAGAGAGAAAGGTCTTCCTTCCGTTGGTTCACTCCCCAAATGGCTACGGCCAGCACTGCGCCAGGAGCCAGGTGCTTCTCCTGGTATCCCATGCGGGTGCAAGGCCCAAGCACTTGGGCCATCCTCCACTGCACTCCCAGGCCACAGCAGAGAGCTGGACTGAAAGAGGAGCAACCGGAACAAAATCTGGCGCCTCGACCGGGACTAGAACCCGGTGTGCTGGCGCTGCAGGCGGAGGATTAGCCTAGTGAGCCATGGTGCTGGCTGGAATTCAGGTATCTTAACCACTAAGCCAAATGGCTGCCCCCAGCTTTCACTCTTACAGGGACACCAGTCCCAATTAGGAGTCACACTCCTCTAGTATGAAAACATCTTAACTTGATTACATCTGCAAAGACCCTCATTTCCAAATAAGGTCATACTCACCATTCCTGGGTAGACATGGGTTTTTGGGGAATGCTATTCCACCCAGTACACCATCCAATATGCTCTACAAATTCTATTTGTTCCTCATCTCTCTCCCCCACTAGAATGTCAGCCCTACGAGGGCACAGATTGTTGTCTGGTTTGTTCATTGCTATATCTTCAGTGTCTAAAGAAGTGTTCAATACATAGCAGCCACTCACTAAATATTTTGTGGGATTGGCGTTGTGACACAGTGGGTTAAGCCACTCATTGCGATACCCAAATCCCATACCAGAGTGCCAGTTGCAGTCTCTGATGCTCTGCTTCCAATCCAGCTCCCTGCAGAGATGTTGCAGCCATTTGGGGAAGTGAATCAGCACATGGTAGATTTCTCTCTCTCTCTCTCTCTCTCTCTATCTCCCCCCTCCAAGTAAATACATGTATCTTTAAAAAAAAACACACAGATAAATATTTTGTGAATGAATCATACCCATCTGCTCCCAACTAAGGAGGAAATTGGAAAGATAGAAGCAGGGATAAGGATGGGAATGCAGATAAAAGGGCTCTCCCCGTGAAAAATGTGCATTGTGAAAACACTATGCATGAATTTCACATTTTTTGAACCAAAATAATCTTTTAATTTCACTTTTCCACGAACTTTTGACATATCCTCGTATTGCCTAGAACATAAATAAGTGATGACTGGATGGATACAAATATCTGATGGGTGTATTACCTTAACATTTGGGAACACCAATTTTACACAAAGTACTGAAGGAAGACACAAAGAAGTGAAAAGGAAACAGCTGTATATCCTATGTCTCCACATGACCGCGGACAAGTCCCCCAATCTTTCTGTTTCACTTTTCCCACCAGGAAAATGGAGGCGATAACAGTACATACTTCATAGGATTGTCATGAGGCTTGAGTTCATAGACTTAAAAAAAAAGCACACCCAAGAGCTAGAAGCTATTGTTTTTGCAGCCGGTATAGGTTAGCTCTGACCAAGGTATCTATTTTAAACAGCTTTATTGAGATATAATTCACATGGCACAAAATTCACTATAGTAAATGATAGAACTCAGTGGTTCTTACCATAATATAACTTAAGAAAAGTTTCATCTCCCTCCCCAAAATCCCAGACCCTTAGCAGTCACTCCCCCTTGCTCACACCATACCCCAGCTCCCTGCCCGCCACCCTGCTGGCAACCACTGTTAACAATTTCTCTCTCTATGGATTCACCTGGTATGGAATTTCAGAGAAATCATGCGGGTATATGGGCTTTTGTGACTGACTTCCCTCGTTAGCATCACATTTTTCACAGTTTCTCCAGCAAATTGTTTGTTAGCAATTCGTGGCTGAATAATACTCCATCATGTGGCTATACCACATTTATCCATTCATAAGTGGATGAACACTTGGGTACTTTTTTTCACATTCTGAAGAACTGCCAAACTGTTTTCCAAAGTGACTTCACTATTTCACAGTGACCAAGGGTTCCCATTTCTCTACATGCTTGCTAAACCCTTCGATTTTAGCTATCATAGTGGACAAGAAATGGTATCGCATTGTGTGTGCATGTGTCTTTAAGAAATCGCTACTTTCCATCAACCTCATTTTCATTTTCTGTTTAAGATCCAGTGGGTGAGCAGCTTAGGACCATTCAGTGGTTGTTCCTGCCTAGCCAGTGGCCTGAGCATTGGGAACTGCAGCCCAGTCTTCAGTGATGGGCTGAGTGCTCCAGACATGAGTAGAAAACTACGGATAGACAGAGCGTGCACCTGTGTGCCTTCGGGTGAATCTGCCACCTTGGGCTTAAATAGCAGGAATCTCAGGAGCTGGAGCAGTTCATCAACCTTGAAGCTCCTTCTTGGCTACAGCCTTTTCAGCATGAGCCCGCTCTTCCTTTTCAGTCTCTGCAGAATTTCTGCCCAAGTAGAAATCCAGCATGACCTCCCATGGGGGTGTTCTCGGGAGATGGTGCCACGTGTGTGCAGAACTTCCTGGGCCAGCATCTACCACGTCAGATCCACTGAGTGAATTACCTTGTTGCACAGGATGGCAATGCCCAAGTAGCACAGAAGAGAATCTGTGTTGCGTAGAGCAATGGATCAGTAGTTACCAGCAGATATGGCTTCTTTTAAAAAAATATTTGAAGAACAGAGCTAAGGGGAGGCGGGGAGAGATGTTCTATATCGTTGGTTCACTCCACAGATGGCCGCAACAGCCAAAGCTAAGAGCCTGAAATTCCATCTGGTTCCCCCACATGAGTGGCAGGCGCCCACATACTCAGGTCACCTTCTGCTGCCTTTCTCAGGCACATCAGCAGGGAGCTGCAGGGGAAACAGAGCAGCGGGAATGGAACCAACCCCCTGTATATGAGATGCCGGCATCCCAAGGCAGGTCCCTAGATACATCTTCTGAAAGGCTGCCTGAATTGCGTTAGGGAAGGTTCTAGGAGTGAAGCACTCAGTCTTAAGAGTGGCCCCAGCAGAAGGGGCAGACTTCAGCCTCACCCACTGGCCAGTATTTCTGAGGGACATCATCCTGACATTAGCCAGGCAACAGTGGCAGAAGCACTTTGGGTTTCTGATGGAGATGTCACCAGTTCTTTTACAAAGGTGCTTGTTTCACTTGGAAGTCAGGGGTCCCGCCATGTAAGTGGGTTCCTGCTGCAAGGCATTTAAAGACCTCCTCTGTTTGTAGAACCGCAAGGGCTCCAGACATTGTGAAAGTTTCCCATAAGTTACCACGGGAACCTAGGACAATGCCTGATGGCTAGCAGAGAAAGCTCATGGTGGTTTTGATTTGCCTTTCTCTGGCAGTTATAATGACATTGAGCATCTTTTGCATTTATTGGCCATTTGTATATCTTCACTGGAGAAAGATCTCCTCGAATCTTTTGGCTGTTTTTGAAAAGTGGGTTATCTTTTTGTTGTTGAGCTGCAAGAGTTCATTATATATTCTAGATGCAAGTCCCTTATTGGATATTCGGTCTACAAATATCTTCTCCCATTCTGTGAGTTGTGTTTTCTGTTCAAGGTGTTTTGCATGCTTTTTTTTTTTTTTTATAAGACCACCGCTATGACGAAGGTGCTACTGCTAGGGAAATGGATGTTCAGACAGAAGATGGAATTTAAATCCAATTTTCTCTGACTCTAAAGCTCGTGCTTTTTCCTCAGCCCAACTCATTCGTGATGATAAATTAAGACATGTTTCTGGTTTACAGAGCTCAATCTGGAAGAGGACATAAAGCAAGACCACAAATGAGTGTGCTGTGAAGCCTAGTTCAACTTCTCTGCAAATGCCACAAGAGAGGGGCACAGGAAGTGCAGTGGGCAATCCCAAAGTGGGGAGGGTGGAGGAGGGAGAGGGAGAGAGACAGAGACAGAGAGGGCACGTCTGGTTGGGAAACTCAGGGTCGGCTTCAGTGAGATGGCATTTAAGTGAAATCTCAACGGATGGTTGCAATTTCATTGGATGGAGATGATGGAATGAATGGGGAGACCATTTCCGAAGAACAGGAAATGAGGGTGGAAAGAATGTAGCTCAGATCTGAGATAGCTGTGATGGGGAGTTCTGGGGTTTGTTGGAATGAGCAATCATGAGACCAGGGATTCTGGGTTTCACTGGGGTAGTGGATTTGGGCACTTGGCGGGGGGCAGTCTGCCTGTGATATTGTATATGTGTATGTGTATGTGTGCGGGGGGAGTTCTGGGGGAGGGTTGTCTGAGGGGGAAGTTGTAGACTGGTTGGGCTGGAGAGACATGGGGCTGGCTGGGATGCAGGGTTGGAGGATGGTGATCCAGGAACTGGCTGGGATGGGAGACTCAGAGGCTGCCTCCTGATGGGGGCTGCAGGGAGATCACCTAGGCTGGGAGCTCCAGGCGTTGGCTGGGACTGGGAATATGAGACAGGCTGGGATTAGCAGCCCCAGTGGATTGGATCCATGGGTTGTCTGGACCTGGGCACGACCTGGGATGAGGGTTCCTGGGATGGCTTGGACAAGGATAGTGGGCCTGGAATGTGGCAACGGGCTGGGATAGAGGGGCTTCCTTAGGCGTCCTTTGATGAGGACCCTGGATGGGTGGAATGGGGAGCTCTCCCACAGGCTGCGATGGGGCTGGCCTCTGACGGTCGCCGGGACCTCGGGGCGGATCCAGCTGCCAGTGCCGGTGGCGGCCGCAGGTGGGAC